TCTTAAAAGTTCTTATTAATAAAATCAAACCCGAGGCCAGTTATTGGGGTAAATGCTGGAAGGTCAGAGTACCAGAACAAGCCACAGCTATCTCACCTTGCCAATTCCTCAGTTGGTCCTGTTTCCTCAGACTGGAAGTTTCTGGGTCCTCACCCAATGGCTCTCAGCTGAACTGCTACTCGAAAGCCTGAATGCTTAACCAGCCAACTGCTTAACCAGCCAAATGCCTCTAGTTTCTGGTCCTCACGCCTCAAATATCTTTCTGCTTTCTACCACCACTCCCTGGGATTAAAGGCTGGCTTTCTGGGATTAAAGGTGTGTGTCACCATGCTTGGCTGTTTCCAATGTGACCTTGAACTCACAGAGATCCAGAGGGATTTCTATCTCTGGAATGCTAGGATTAAAGGCGTGAGTGCCACCATTTTCTAGCCTCTGTATCTAGTGGCTGTCTGTTCTCTGACCCCAGATAAATTTATTAAGGTGCACAATATTTTGGGGAACACAATACCACCACAACAGTCCCATTTTATGCTTCCATGACTCTGGGACCTTATGAATTCCAGCTGTCCATACATCTAAACCTAAGCATGGACATTCCTTGGTTAGGATTCAGGATTCTCCTTTATTTTCTTGTTGCTGGGGCACTTTCACCCTGGAAACTATACAGTTCTGTTTTACAGGACATCTTTGTCTTTGGTAACCATATCTGACCCATAGTAGCCAGTTTAACATCTCTGTTTACACATTAAGGAGCAGGGCCATTCAACCTCCTAATATCACCAAGACCACCTCCAAATGACATATTGACCTGACTCTGATTCTAGATCACACTCCTCCACCAACCACCAACCCCCAAAGTCATGGAATAAACTACTCTTGGAGAAGATGATGACTGAGGTGCCTTTGGACCCTTTTCATCCTTCAAGTAGGTTAGAAGATGTTAGACTGCCATGACATATGCCAGTCAAGCATCATATGGTAACTTTAACCCCTCACTCGGGAATTCTATATCCATTTTCCCAGAACCCTGGTCAGAATTTCAGTTACCACACTGCTAGATGGGTGCATCTCTAAGCAAATGCCTGGCATGTAATAAATGTCAAATGGTAACTGTGTATGATGAAATGAGAACAGATCCAAATTCATTTCAACACATTTTTACTAATATGACTAATGTGACAATGGTGAGACACTGAATACTCTCTGTGATCGTGTAGTCTAGTAGTTGTAATAGGTAAGTAGTTATTAGGACAGAACGTGATGAAAAGTGGCAGTTGGGATACTACAGAAGCAGAGACTGGGGTCTCAGGGAGCGCTGGGGTCCTTCATGGAATGATTAGTCCCAGCTGGCATTATGGAGAGGCTCCAGGCTGGTTGCTGCAGGGTGTGGCTCACATTTTTATCTTTGTATTATTCATTGATGTTTCAATCTGTCATCCTGAAATGTGATCTGCCCTAGTTCCCTGGGCTGCCACTGTCCAGCCCTTGCATGAGGAGAGCAACCTGCTAACTAACCGCATTGGGTTAGTTTTCTAGCTACTCCATGGTACCTTTGTACTATTATTGTTTAAATGTGTATAACAGTTTTGTGCTGTCAGAATTTCAAACCATACAGAAGTAGGTAATATGCAGTCTTTTCTTCCGGCAGGCTCTCAGTCCCACTGTCTGCTAAGAGTTAGCCATCACTAACTTCTCCGTTTGGAGGTTGCCTGAGCCTATGGAAGCAGAGTGAATGCATGTTTTCATTTGGATGTTTCCTCTCTTAAAAACATTGTACATGCATGTGATTCTACTGTAAGAACCTCCTTTGCCAAGCTACTTTTGGGGTCATCCTTTGCTATCATTGCATCCGTGAAGCTTGTCTCTAAATGTAGGATGGTGATGCTTGTGGAAAGGGTTCACTGCTCGCTGCACTCGGAAGGGGCTAAGGACGTTTGGTTTCTCATGTTTCTTGCTGACATTAGATGTCCTTCATATTTTTGAAAGAGACCATAGATGCCTCAACTAAGTTTGTTTTACTGGTAGTGATATTCTTTGGTTTATAGGGTGTGTAATATATGTGTGTATATTATATTTTCTGTAAGTTAAAATAAGACACTTGTTTGGAGCCAACATCTCTGGAAGAAAAAGATGCTCTGTATTAGTTTTCTTAACAAGCATTCCATGAATGGATAGACGCTTGGGGACAAGGGGCCCCCTCTTAAGATAGACTGCACTCTTATGCTGAGACCTCAGTGTGATTCAGAACCATTTCTTATGTGACCACGACTATTGAAATGGTTATTCTAGAGAAACCATTGCCAAGTCTAGAGGAGTCTGATGACAAAAAGATCCATCCTTCCATCTCCTCAGGTGCCTATTCTCAGTTTTTCCAAGGTTCACCACGTTAGCATATGAAACCAGTAGACATTTAATGAGTTGATTTTTAAGTGAAAGATAGTAACAGTTGTTGTGAGTAATAAAAAGCATAGATAGGCTTTTCAATATCACATCAATTCATTCACTGGCAGTATTTATATCTTACAGTGTGCCAGTCACTATGTAGATGGTGGGTATACATCCAAGAAGGGTGATAGATAGGAACTGTAGCTGATAAGTACGGAGCTCTCACTGCCTATGTTACCTCATACAATTCTCAGATCAACTTCATAATTAAGTGCCTTTATAATATCAAATCAAAGACAAAGGAATGATAATTAGAAAGATGAATAATGTTAACAAGGACTAAAGCTGGACCACATAGTGCTTATGAACTATTTACTGTTGTTCCCACATGAGACAGACACAAGTCTGTACCCTAAAGGAATTCATACTCTGAACTAAGGCACACCTCTACTCACAGATCAATCAACTTAAAAAAAATCTCAGGAGTGTGAAGGCCCCGAAGAGTTTTCCACCTTTCAGTCAGTCTGTGCCTGATGGACACACTGAGTTGATGGACGTCTCTCGGTTGATGTGGACTTCCTCTATTTCCACCAACAAACCCTTCTGTCATGTCCCCCATGTCCCCCTGTCATCGTCGGTCTGTACTCCTGCCCCTCTCTGTTTTGTCTGAACACCCTCCCCTTTCCTGTTCCTTGGTCTCTCTCCCAGCTAGATGGTTATTAGAGATTACCAGATGCCGCAGTGTAGCTTCAGAGAACACGGGAGGGAAGGACCCTGACCACAAACGAAGCACGGTATTGACAGAGGGCTTGGTGCTTCTGGAGCTCCTTCCTTTATGTGTTCTGCTGTTTAATGGATTCAAGGAAAGCAAAGACCCACTGGCTGCCCAGTGTGCTGGGCTCCTTCCTTCTTGCTTTCTGGCACTCCAGGCATGCAGAACTCCAAAAGCACATCCACGCCACTCTGTTGTTGTTAATCTAATTTTTCCATGATTAACAACTCAATTCATTATGTTTCCAGCTCACATTAATCATCCTTTCTGTGAGTTTGGTAACATTTGGAATCATTTCCCTATGAATTTATCCATCTGGGATCTCTATAAAAGATATGCTTGCACAAAGCTGTTTGGTGCTCACTGCTGAGAGTGAAGGTACTTACTGTTCCCTGAATCCTGAAAGGATGGTTCTGAAGTCAACTGTGGTTCCTTCACCATTTGCGGCCCCTCAGTTGAGCTCCATAAGGTTCCCAACATGTAGCAAGACCCAAAGCACAGAGATTTTGGCTACAATATAATAGTAATGTAAATCCCTAAAAACAGCGCTCTGTGGAACCTATGTGCACTTCTGGAGCAGATGGGAGTGGAGGGAGCCGTGGGGGCAGCGGAAAGAGAGGTGAGATGGATGAGTCAGAGCAAAGACCCTGGCAGGATTTCTGTCTTTACACCTACAAGCTATTTGACCTTACACAAGACACATAATCTCATAAGATCCATTCATTCCTCCTGTGAGCTGCTATCATGGGGTAGTTCTGAATGTTGGATTGTATTCTCTCCTCTGCTCTCTGCTGTTGAGGAAAAACTACAATATTGTTAATGCTGCTCAGTTTTGCAATTCCCACACTTCTTTCCAAAACTAACAATGTCTGTGCGTATGTGGATATATGTATATATAACATATATAATATTTATTGGGGAATTTCCATGGCTGCTTCTAATACTAATACGTGTGTATGTATATGTGTGTTTATGCACACATAGTACACACACATTTATAACAGCATATATAAAAATATGTATATGAATAATACATATGGTATGTATGTATGTGTATGTATGGGCAAGCATCAGCAAAAGAACAAATAGCCTATTGGGTATGTCCTAGAAGCCAGTATTTCTTAAGTATCTTCTATAAAAAGCCTTACAGCAGTGTGCCTTGTTTGAGTTGGGCAGAGGATATGTTGTTTAGGAAACAGACAGAGAATCCTTTGGGATGCATTGTGAGCATCCTCCCAGGTACAGTGTCGTCTCAGGAGCTGAGAGAGAAAGCAGTTCTTGTGGAGCCTCCACATGATGTTTGCCCCCAGCAACATCCAGCAGGGGAGGTCAGAGGCATCCGTCCACTTCTGAAGACAGATGTTTCTTTAGAGACAATATTCTACATTGAGTATCTTCTCAAAGCCCATGACAGACATTTTTGTCTATGATCATTAACTTGAAAATACAGGTATCATTTCTTGTTGCTGCCCACATGCAGGACTGAATTGCATAATGCCTCCATTACTGTAGGAAGGGTAAAAGCTGAGATTCAATTTTACGGCCATAGAAAGGTCCAGGAGTGGAGTAAAGAGATAGGAGAAGTTTGTTCTAATTCTGCCCTGCTGAAAACAAGGTGATGGGATGTGGAAATGTTGACCTCTGCTGAAAGTCTCTTCTCAGCACTAGGGATTTCAACAGAAGATTCCCATTACACGGGAAACCTCCAGTGGCCTTGACGGAAATTACCTGCCTAACTCCCCTTCCTACCCCTGTAGAAGGCCAGACACCTGAGGGCCCTTTTTAATTGCAGTGCACCTCTCCTTGCAAAGGAGCTAATTGCATCTGCTTCCCTTTCCTTTAGGTTTCCAAGCAAAGACAGGAATAACGAAGGCTGTGTGCTAGCTGCATCCTTTTGAACCACCCGGGAAGGAAATCCAGAGTGTGGTCAGACAATTGCAGCACTCGGAGTAAATGAGGAATGGACTCGTGATTATGCTGAGATTCCAGAATGAATCTGGTCGACCTGTGGCTATCCCGTTCCCTCTCCATGTGTCTTCTCCTCCAAAGCTTTGTTCTGATGATACTGTGCTTTCATTCTGCCAGTATGTGTCCCAAAGGCTGCCTTTGTTCTTCCTCTGGGGGTTTAAATGTCACCTGTAGCAATGCAAATCTCAAGGAAATACCCAGAGATCTCCCTCCAGAAACAGTTTTGCTCTACCTGGACTCCAATCAGATCACATCCATCCCTAATGAGATTTTTAAGGACCTCCATCAACTGAGAGTTCTCAACCTGTCCAAAAACGGCATTGAGTTCATCGATGAGCATGCATTCAAAGGAGTAGCAGAAACCTTGCAGACCCTGGACCTGTCTGACAACAGGATTCAAAGCGTGCATAAAAATGCCTTCAATAATCTGAAGGCTAGGGCCAGAATTGCCAACAACCCCTGGCATTGTGACTGCACTCTCCAGCAAGTTCTGAGGAGCATGGCATCCAATCATGAGACAGCACACAATGTAATTTGCAAGACCTCAGTGTTGGATGAGCATGCTGGGAGGCCGTTCCTCAACTCTGCCAATGATGCTGACCTTTGTAACCTCCCTAAAAAGACTACTGACTACGCCATGCTCGTCACCATGTTTGGCTGGTTCACCATGGTGATCTCTTATGTGGTGTATTATGTGAGGCAGAATCAGGAGGATGCTCGGAGACACCTTGAATACTTGAAATCCCTGCCAAGCAGGCAAAAGAAGGCAGATGAGCCTGATGACATTAGCACTGTGGTATAATGACCACACTGACTGGCACTGGGAAAGGAGCTTCTGGTTGTAGTAGGATAAGTGGTTCACTTTCCCCTCCATTGTACACGTTTAAAACTTTGTATTTTAATTTCTTTGGAATCACGCCACTGTTGAAATTTTCACAAACACCACAACACTAATAATTTTAGTTTAGGTGATCTTCTCCCATTCGTTGTGTCCCTGGCTCCTGAGTAACAAACTCTCTGAACATTAGTTAGACCCATCTCACTATTTAATAATGAAATTTATTTTTTTAATTTAAAACTGAATAAAAGCTTAACTTTGAACCATGGAAAAGAGTGTGACTTATTGGTTAAGAAACAATATAACCAATCCACTTGCTTTAAAGAGGAAAAGACAATCCTGCTACTCTAAAAGACTATTATTTTGAAAGGTGTATCATTACAAGCTCTATGGCAACCTGGGGAGCCAGAGCTGAATTACTGACCAGTTAAATGTCTGCCAGACTTTAGCTAGCCAAGATGATTATACAAATGTGTTTTTCCCAGCCTAGACATGTTAGGATGCCTGCTGACTAGCAGCTGATTTTCAAACTGAGGAGGTTTAGCAATAAAAAGCAAATACTTGCTTCTACTCTGTGCTGGATGCAATGGGAAAGTAAAAGATGGCATGTGTCTTATCCTCAAGACTGCCTTATGGTGGGCAGGAACGTGTGGTGACTACAAAAATAGCTGGGCTAGAAAAGGAGGAGCACTGGCTCTGGGGGAGCACTGCGTGGGGATGCTCTGGGGGAGCACTGTGTGGGGATGCTGACACCACTGATGTCCCTAACCTCTCACCAGCAGAGGAGAAAGTGACCATCGGCCCATGCAGGTAAAACAGGTCCAGCCCCCATGACAGTAGAGAGCATTAGAGCTTGAATTTAAACCAGGTCTTCTCTGAATGGAGGTCTTCTCTGTGATAGTCCTTCTACACTGGTTTACAAACAGAATTTACATGATAAAAATGCACTAACATGAAATTTCACGAGTTTTGTTCTTGTATACAATCTGCCACACAAAGGAGATATTATGTCCCAACTGTGGTCAGATATACTGGAAGACATTTGGTTCCTAGAGTGGGGAATGAATGATGGGCTTGTTTGTTTTAGGATGAATGTGATCAAGCAAGCATGAAAGACCAAACCTAGGGAGCATAGGAGCAAAGGTGGAGAGCCGCTCCCCATAAAGGAATCTATGTGGAGAGTGAGATACAAATCCAAACCCTATGGTGACTTTGAACTGGAGAATACCCTGTCACCACACGCCACTTACGGAAGAGAGACTAATTTTGCACCAAATACTTTTCTAAGTCTCCTTAATTAATGCTTGCAAGACACTGTGAGAAAGTTTTTGAGTTATGTAATAGATTGAGGACTCCAGCACTTGTAGGAAGCATAGCACATGCACCGACATTAAGTTTTGAGAGTTTTGAAAATTGTACACCCCTGTTCAAGACACCTATACTGACACCCATCATCTCTGGACCACTCCTGTCCTGCCCTTCTGTCCTAGGCTTGCTACACAAGGTGGCCAGTTCCTCCGCCACATGGGTTTACAAACACCTCGACAACAATTCAATTTAAAAACACAGGGAAATTGCTCTGTATAAGGCTTGTGTAGGAAAAAGGGTTAGCGTGCCCTTGTGAGACACATGGCCTTGTCCAGCCCACATGAGATTGTCTTCAGGGTGTGAAAACTCACAGTTCTACCCTTCGGAAGCCTTGGAGTTCTGATTATAACCATAGTCTGTTGAAAGGATTGCTGAAGAAATCAGCAAGACACTCAGAGCACTGGCCACTGTATGCTCACAGCCGCTTTAACCATTCTGAGATGTGTCAGTCTAGCCAAAAATTCAGCAGTAACTCTCAGATGTGCAATCTGTGTTAGGGCCTAGAATGTCTGCACCCAGGAGACTGAAGTCTGATGGCCTGCCTTGAATCTGTGTGGAAGAACCAGCAAGAGGAGCCAGAGCTGTGCTGAAGGTACAGCGCCCCCTGGAGGACAGTGCTATAAATACACCGCAAGTACTGCGTAGGAAAAAAAGCTGTTAGACAAAAGTTTAGCTATAACGGTCTTTTGAAAATTAATCAACGTGTGTTTATTTGAATTTATGAGTCACATTCATTTTGAAAAATCTTCCACAGATGGATAACATAATCTATTCCAGGTCATTCCCTCCAAAATCATCTTTATGCCTTTAGTAATGAAAGCTTATTTTCCTCATGGCCAATCCATTAATCCAGTGAATGTTCTCATAAATGGAAGGTCTCTGAGGATTTGGTGAGGATAGTCATATCCTTGATCCAGTGCAAAACAGTTAAATCACTGCACACTTGGTTTGTAACTCTCAAAGTAGAGCTGAGAGGCATGCTGCAGGGTACGGGACTCCCTCCCTGAGTTCCTTCCATCTGTAGATTATCAGGTTACAGAGTCTTTTGTGCTTCAAAACAGCAACCGTTAATTTAGGTTGCCATGAACTGAATCGGAGTTTATTAGATAATAAAAATCAAATAAATATAATTAAAGTAGCAGATTAACATGTCTATTTGTGACCAGAAGAGAAGGGAAACGATCTAATCGCCAGCGTGTAAGAATGTCTACCCACAAGGCCAACAATGTACCAAGCGATGAGTGGAAGAATCTGCTTAGTGAGAGCCTGCAGTCTTGATCCTAGATTGATGCCTCATTTCCCATGCCTCTGTGGGAGTTCCTGTTCATGGTGAACCATGGGAAGATTTTTGAAATTAACTACCATCTTATTGTCCTAGGCACACAGCAGCTCAGGTCCTGATACTTTAAGTGACAGTGCCTTTTCTCAGACTGTTCTCTCAACCTCCACCTTTCAGATTTAAAAAAAAAATGCTCCTGGGAATTTTAATCTAATCTTTGACAATGTGCTTATCTCTGAAATAAAGCAAACCATAAAACATGCCAACTCAACTAGAACACATTTAAAAGTGATAAAAACTTACATAATGGAAGATTGAACTTCCACTAACACTTGGACAAATTGTAATCACTGCTGTACAGTGAGCAGTATGAGTGTTGTTCTTTTCCTTGTCCGTCTCTGATTCCCCACAGTAATTCTTGCTCTGATATCACCAAGCATATGGCAGTCTGGGGTGTCGTGAGGTTTTCTTATTGACTCAAGTCTTTCATACAGTTCTCTCAGTTTGCTGGCAGAGACATAGAGTGGAAAATTCTGCTTATAACTGCTCAGTTCCTGCAGGCAGATGCATTCCTATATCATCAGGGTCCTTGGAATAGTCTCATCTACCCACTTCACAAGTACAGACACTGAAATGCTTAGAGCTTTGGGGATGTGTGTCTGTCTCCTAAGTGTCCTGTAGGACACTAACTGCCATCCTGATGAGTTCTATGCCAGTCATCGAAGACAGGTCATGAACATCATAACAATATGCACAGGGAAAAATGTCACTGGATACTAGCAAATTTCTCTGAGGATTCCTACTTTACTGTGAGTCAAAGACTACCTATGATTCTAAAATTTTAATTGTTCCTTCAAAATCAGGTGGCAGGATCTACTTGCCTGTAAAAGTAGCCCAGGATAACATGTTTAAAAGTGTGCATGACCTAGCCACGGAAATGGGGAAAATGATGCTGGTACAATGTCCCAGAATGAGAGAAAGGAGTTACATTTATTTCCTTGAGCAGAACCACAAATGATTGAGTGCAGCCAAGCTGGTAAGACAAGGCTGCCCTTCCTCAATGTCTGTCTCCATCTCAGAGCTCTTGTCTGCCTGGCTTCCCAAAGTGGTGTCAGTGATTCATTCAGTTGGCTAGTTCTGACATAGAAAATGGAAACAAGAAACATGCTGGTTAATGTTAGTTTTGGTTTTGGTTTTGTCAATTTTTCATAAAGTAGGGTCTTCTGAGAGGAGCGAACTTCAACTAAAAACATGCCTCCATCAGATTGGCCTGCGGGCAAGCTTTTGGAGCAATCTTTTGATGAATGATTAATGTCCACTGCTGTGGGCAGTGCCATCCCTGGACAGGTGGTCCTGAGTTGTATAAGCTATCAGGCTGGCCAAGCTCTGAGGACCAAGCCAGTAAGCAGCACTCCTCCATAGCTTCTTCTTCAGTTTCTGCCTCCAGAGTCCTGCTGGCATTCCTGCTCTGCCTTACCTCAGTGCTGGAATGTGATCTGGGATGCAGCAGCCATTAAACTCTTTCTTCTCCAAGTTCCTTCTGCTCATGTTGTTTGAGCAATAGAAAGCAAACTAATACAGGGACGGGGCAAGCTCAATTTCCACACATCTGGAAGTCCATGTTGTGAAACAGAACGCAGGAAAGAAGACCTGCCTGTATTCTGCATTTGCCCACTCAATGATGGGCCAGAATATACTCAGAGACCCTGCCAGGGCCCAAGACATTTTTCATTCAACTCAAGAAAATGATTATTTTGAGACTTTTGGGTCTCCAAAATAGACAGAGAGTCCCATGGTTTCCTAAGTGGTGACAGTAAAGAGAAACATCATTAACATGTATTGGTGGAACTCTATCTATCATCTATTTTTGTATCAATCATCTATCTATCTATCTATCTATCTATCTATCTATCATTTATCTATCTATATCTATGCATCTATCATCTATCTATCATTTATCTCTATCATCTACCTATCTATCAATCATCTATCTATGTATCTATCATCTATCTATCTATCTATCTATCTATCTATCTATCTATCTATCTATCTATCATCTATATCATCTACCTATCTATCAATCATCTATCTATCTATCTATCTATCATCTATATCATCTACCTATCTATCAATCATCTATCTATCTATCTATCTATCTATTATCTATCATCTATCCATCTATCTATCTCCTCCCTCTTCTTCTCTTCCTCTCTTCTCCACCCTCCCTCCCTCCCTTCCTCTCTTCCTTTCTATCTCTATATTTGTATTTTAGAACTGAGTTTCAAAAGCCAAGGAAGGAATCAGAGAGACACTAGGGAAGAATCAGGTCTAACAGTAACTCTGTCAAGGGATGCTAAGAGTTACTTGAGATTGGAATTTATGGGGAAATTTGTAAATATTTTTAAAGCTGTCCCTAAGCTCAGTGCAAACAGTGAGTTAATCAACTTTGTAACCTATGCTCCTTCCAAGTCTGGCAAGTGTTCCGCAATTTACTATTAAAAGTAGAAAAAAGCTCAGTGTGTTCGTTCATATGGAGACATCTGAATGACAGTCACTGGATCTCGTATCTAAGAAGCTGCCTTGAACAGCATACTCAATGCAGCTCTCTCTGGGGTT